TTACATCTCTATTGCTTCTTGGCAAAATGGTAATGAACAGGAGCAAATTGGACATAATGGCCCAAATTCACAAAGGAGGTTTAGATTTTAACACATGGTTTAAACCCTCATTTACATAACCCATGGTTTAAAATTAGCGCAAATTAAGCATACCTTGCCTTGTGCGCGTCTAATATTGGACCTCTTGACTGTGTCCCGCTTATTTTGTGCTAATTTTAGACCATGGATTATGTAAATGAAGATTTAAACCAAGGGTTAAATATAAACCTCCTTTGTGATTTCAGGCCAATTTGTTTGACATATGTTTTGATATACCGGTACTATATTTTTCCGAATGATAGAATAAAGATCTCTTTTCATTTCTTGTATGCATCATCAATGAATATTGCATGGTCTGCATCGTTCTAGGGGAAACCATGTCTCAGGATCCTTTCCAATTCTTTGTTTATTTCATCCCGTTTTTGGTATCTAACTCTGGCAAGACTACATGAAGGAAAAGAAATGATAATCCTTTTCTACAACAGACAGATAAGAGCATGATATTATGCACTGCATTGTGAACAATTCGAAGATCAACAATGACACATTCAAGAAACATGGACCAAATATTTCCATACTACAGAGTATAGAGTACATAACATTATTTTACAATGAAAGATAGATCAATATGTGACTTGACATATGAGCCCGGCATAAGTCAGTTTACAAGATACAAATCAATCTTTTTTGTAATCTAGAGGCGCTAACGGTCACAAATATGCAAATCTTTAAATTTGAATACAAGGGAGCCATACCTGAAAAATTCAATTCTTTATCTGAACTTTTGCAACAAAAACATAACATCTCATACATATCAAAATGAAAAAACAAAACAATTTTGTTAAATAAGAAGTCTTTGGATGAACCGATGGACGCACACATAAATTTGATCAAAGCACATACTTGACAAAGAAAATGAAAAAAAGTTCTTGCCTTTCCTATTCAAACTCGATCAACGAGTTGCATCGTTGCAAAATATCAAATAGTACAAAGAAATTTCCAGTTTAAAACAGGCAACAGTAAATAAACAAAATCACATGAAAATTTAGTGTGCTGTACAGTAATTTGTAATTGCTTCAATACAATCTTGGAGTAAGATAAAGGGAGGGAAACAGGAAGAGCAAATGAAACCTATTTGAATAAGATAGTTAAGTTTACACATCTAAAATTTACAGGGAATTAAATAAATCATTTTGTTCAAGAAGCCAACCATCTAAAATGATATATAAATTATTTCAAGTATTACTTTTCTGATTATGTTTTAGAATTGCTTATCAATAGAAAATGTTGAACAAAATTGAATTTAATAAAACGAGCTAAACTGGAAAAAATAGATGAGTGTAAAATTAAATGAAAAAAAGAGGAAAATAAGAGTATTTTGTTGCATGTTGTATGACCTTTGTTCACCATAAAGGTGTAATCTATGTGTATATCTTCCTTACTCAAAGTAGTAAGTCCTAAGTAAGGATTTTGACCGGTTTTTATAATGGTCACATAATTTAAAAAAAATATATATAAAGAAATATATCTTTGTGTAGTATAACAGGGATTATTTAAAGCAATTACAAAATACTGCACAGCACAGTACTCTTTTCACTGAATGCTTTTTTATCAAATACAAATATCCGCTAAAAAATGTAGCAAAACTTTTTTCAAAGAGTTTAGAAAAAGGAAAAATCTACTTAAATACAAAAGCTGGCACACATATTATAGGCAATATAGAAAACAACTTCATAAATAGTATTTCAAAAGCTATTTACATTGATTATAAACAAATATATGTACATAGATATATATCTCGTAACTGCAAATAAATGAAGTGAATACCTTTGGTAACATTAAATCCACTCAAAACTGAATAACTTCCTTGCATAAGCTTGGCACTTTTCAGAACTCTGATAGGAATAGAAAGATAGGTTTAGCTTAATCTTGAGAAATAGACAACACATTTGCATAGGCGTAGCAAAAAATAAATGAAAGAGACAATGCAGAAAAAGTACTACCGGTAATAACTAATTTATAGCAAATAGCAGAGTTGATCTCTAAACCTTAATCAATTTTTAAATATTTAGTACATACCATGTTGTTGAATGCAATGATATGCTTAAAAGACATCAATCTCTCTGCTCTAGCTGAAACTGGCTAATGTATATTTCCCACCTTGTGCGTTTTGTAATGTTTAATTCATCCTCTCTTATTTCAGATGATAACGTATGAATGTAAGTACCATCAAGCTAGAATATGCCTAGAATTAAAATTTAAACAAAATCACAATCGTTTAGTCAAATTCCAGGCAAATTTGATTAAAGTAGGCGTGAACATACATTTTTCAAATAACGCAATGATATACAATTATACATCATAAATACACAAGAGCACTATGCTCCATGACTTCATTCTATATTCAAGTCAATGCTGACAAACTATTTCAGGGCTATTTCTATGAGTATATTGATAAATATCTCACATCAATGAATATAAAGTTTCCACTGCTCGGATTGATTAAACAAGTCATACAGAAACAATCTCCAGCTTGAACCAAAAAGAAACCTGCAGTATAATAATGAAAGTTAAGACGTGGCTGGACCATGGTTCCAAAACATAACCATAAGCAGGGTTCATTATATGATCAGTAGTATACCGGTATATAAGATATGACACAGTAAACCACTTACAATAGCTCCCATCCAAGGCAAAATTATAAAACAACAAGATAAATTCACATGAATGGCAAGTAGGGAGGGAGGGGGTGCATAGAGTAATGATATGCATGTAACCAAGTCCCCTAAATATACTCTTCCAAGAACAGGCTATAATATCATTTGATGAGACCCACAACCAGAACTTCAAGAAAGTGAGGTTCTTGGCCCTTGACAGAGCAGAGTGGCGGGATCTAATTCAGAGGCCGTCAACTGACAGGTCTACATGCATCAGGATGAGCATGACTCATACTTTTATAGAGTTAACACCTTCTATAGATCTCAACGGACAATATAGTCGTGATACACACGACTCTATCAAATGTTGTTGTGGGGGTAATTTTAAGGCAGCTTACTGCATTAGTTTGAATGAAGCTTTGCGGTGATAACAGAATACGTCAACAATTACCAGCATGTTCTTATATATGTCAATGATACACAATATAAAATCCAGCTTTGTGCAAATGTAAACAACACCCTGGAAAGCGAATACCAGTAGACTTAAAGAGGAACGGAGGAACCCATAACCAAGCAAGAAGCATTAATGATTTAGGAGCATGGGGCGGCTTGTTCACACCAAATCTCGCCAAATGTTTTGTTCACACCAAGCGTGCTACCTGAGTTGTATGATGCATACTGCATCGCTTGATAAAAATAGGGCAGCGATTTATTCATCTTGGCATTCAATTAAAAAAAATATCCATGAGTTTCTTTCATACAATTCTGAACAACTCATATATTTTGGCATGCTATAATTTGAGAAGATATCCATAAGTTTCTTTTATACAATTCTGCAGCATATTTTGGGATTGTCATTTTGATTCTGATCAATTTTGACATCTGATATAACACAGAAAAGTGGCCTGACTGAAATGACATACCGGAGTGGAAACTGTAGGATCAAAATATTTTGTAAATGGACCTTTGAATATTTATGTCCATATAATATCTGAATGAAAGCATAAAAACTATTTACCAATTAAGATGAATTATCCATTTTACAAAGTATTTATCAGGACTTGTGATAGATATAGACTGAATAAAAAATATCTTTTCAAGGGAACAATAACAGGAAATTCATATTCCCTGTCCAATTTTTCACAGAATCTGATTAAATTTGGCAATGAAATGGTATAACTCCTCACTTGTTTGTTGTAAATCATGCTTTAATAGCATACTATGCAGTTATCGAAATCAAACTGCCCTCTTTCGCATGATGGTAAAAAAATGCGTAAATTTGTTTTGTCAGAAAATGTGGGACCTGAGATGTCTAGATATACACAAGGTCGTTCTAGTGATAAACATGTATTACAGTATCCAGTAAAATGTGATTGATAAACTCCATATTCATAAACATCATCATAAAAAATACTTTTGGAGTCCAAACTGAATCCACTACATATGTATTGACCTTTCTACGGTTATATAACGTTCCAATACATGAACAGTCAGTATATAAGAATATCAAATTACAAGGCATATCTGTATATGTTCATATATGTTGTGTAAACTGTACAAGAATAATTTTCACTCATCCATCCAAAATGAGAATATAAATACCATCCTAATATGCTAAGTTTCTGTCATAGCAAGCTTGCTGTTTCCTCTGCTCTAAGCAGCATTGATGTCAAGAAAATCTTCCTTTAAAAAAAAAAGGGGGATTTTTTTTCTGAGATTCAAGTTTGGCTATTAACCAACACCCAAATATAGACCCACTTTCCACTTGTGACAGTATCATGACTGCATAACATTGAGAAGAAAAAAAAACTCAACTTTTTTTTAATCTCCGCAACCCTTTCCCGAACCTGTCGTCCTTTTGTTTAAGTTTGACTCAATAACTTCTGTTTTGACTGCATAGACAAGTCCCACTGCTTTTGTTGATGAAAATGCGATTTCTTCCATGTTCCTAAATACATATTGTTCTCAATAAATGTTCACCCACAGATGTTGTTTGTTACAATATAAATTAAGACCACTTTCATGGGTAGCAACTATTTCAGCTTTAACTTAATGACATTTCATCTGCAGTGATGTATTCTTCTAATTAGAAGCACCCTGTATGAAGTATTCCAAAGAGACTATGTCATTTCCATGACAACGTTCTGTACAACAAGAAATTGCTTCAGTTCTTTAGGTCCCATTTTGTGGCCAAGTATCTAAATAATCTGTTTTCATTTGCAATATGTTTCAGCCAATAATGGCGATTTATAAAGAAAACAAGAATGTTTGTAGATCTGTGCCACACTCCCTGCAGATGTCCCTTGTCACATTTCCCTAAATCAATTTCAATCAACTTGAGACGTCAACAAATCTAAACACCTTTACGGCACTCGTGCCACTCAACCCAGCTTCTGAGATCAATCTAAATCATCTACTGTGCTCTTTTCCTCAATCAATCAAGCTTAATAATGTAGATACATATACCATGCATCTTCATGAACACACCTTTATAGCTTTGAAGCTATTCAATTTTCTGCTCCTTGGTATACAGTCAAACCTGTATAGCAGGGCAACTTCAAAGAATGTGTCCTTTCAAAGGTAGACATTTCTTTGATACAAATAGGCAGCCTTACAAAGTGATCATAACTCCAGCCTCCTCAAACAGCAGGAATAGCTACAAACTTGAACATCAGCTGCTATTCTCACTACTCAGTGAGGCATCGACAAGTGTATCTATCTCTTCCAACATCACAACGCCAATAAATTACTACATTTTCAAATCTGCAGCATACGCTTTTGCACTTTCCCTCGATAGGACTCCTTCCTTTCGCAACCTTCCCTACATGACTTCAAGGCGACATGAACACGGGGTCCATGCAGCCAAACTACAGAGGGCGCACTATCCAACATGTGTGACCCTTCCTCTGTACCAAGTCACCGAATGTCGTGCATAACCGATTACCGTCTTGTTGACTGGTCACACTGTGAAGGCGTGGTCTGTGCCGATTAATCTAGCAGAGATTTGAACCTCCGTCTGTCCCTTCTCAGTCAAGTGGTTCCTTGCTTCATTCGGTTACCTTGCCTCTTCTTCTGACTTATCACTCTGAAAATTGTGAAAAAGAAGAAGAAAACAAAAACAAATCAATGAAATAGAAATGGAAAAATGCTGGTATAAAGTTGACAACTGATCATTTTAAAAATTAAAAAAATGCAGATAAGTAGATTAATAAAATGAAAAGTCAAACAAATTTTAATATGTGCTCATGCATATACAAATTAAATGCAAGCAAAATTGACAACACATTACAGATATATAAATAAACAGAAACACTTTTTATTCCAAACATAAAATTGTAGTTCAGAAAGAGAGAAGGGAGAGAGAGAAGAGAGGGGAAAAGAGGAAACAGGAAAAGGGGAGAGAGGAGAGGAAAAGGGGAGAGAGGAGAGGAGAAGAGATACAGGGTAAAAGAGGGATATTTGAGATTGAGATTGAGATTGAGAGAGAGAGAGAGAGAGAGAGAGAGAGAGAGGGGGGGGGGCAGATAAAGTTAACCAAAAAATTACAGTTTTCTCTTTTTGTATATCAAATTCACATTTCCTCAATAAAAAATAATATAAAATTTCACTTTCAGCAGGATGTAGATAAACATGTACACTGTATATACAAATGATATGAGATGTACACTAGTAACACTTACTAATAGTTCTGAGTATATTCTTTCCAATTGATATATCGACAGAATATGCTTCCGAACGAGAAAATATTCTCTTCACTTTATGGCACAATATAGAGATCACAAATTTAAAACAAATGCACTCAATAAGAGAGAATTCAGATAATATTCTATTTGATAATGCTACATCAACATTCAATACAATAAGCTTTGACTGAATCATTAGACAACAGTCTACAACATCAAATGATGATTGTATTGAAGTATGGTGAACAAATTACATGCACACATGTACCAAAGTTCACATGATTCACAAACTGACAAATACTGAGAGAGCTAAAGGAAATATGGAGTTAGGGCAGAGGAATCAACCTTTGATTATCTTCCTCTATGTATCCAAGATCTTTTTATGGGGAGGTGGATGAGTGGGGGGTACTCCATATTCCCTTTCGCTCAAACACCAAGGGCACTGGAAGACACAACTCACCGTGGATGTAGTAAAAACTCAAACATCCCAGAAAACTCTTTTAAAGGGTTGAAATGTTATGAATGATTAGGAAGGTTAGGATGATGACACATGAAGCAGGTAATATTGTGACTGGTTAGACAGTGCATGTTACATGTGTTGTTCATGAAACATTATGGATCTGAATTAACTTCAGTAGGTATTTCGATAGAAAGGGAGTGTATAACAAAAGGGTTTGTGTACACATGGGCATGATAAACTCAATTTTCCTGGTTATTATTGTTATATGTATCAACCAATCATTAAATTGCATTAGTTGATTAGTTGCTGTAAAATCAAAACTCTGAAAAACCACTAATTAGTTGTTTGTTAGTAGTTATAAAGCTACCTATCTACCACTGCTATGAATAATATTTGTACAACATATAAAACCAACATAAATTTGATAGCATGTAAAATTAACCTTTTCTTTTTTTGTAAAACTTATTCTACGCTTCAATGTTTCCTCTCTGCATTTTCATCTTGCTTGTCATAAATAACATCCTGTCCTATTTTATAATAAGGATGATGATTAATAAGATGATAGTCGTCACCACCTCCCTCATCAGTTAATTCCATGACTACCATCATCCCAATAAACCAGTGATACCACCGTCACCATCACTTCAACTCCCAACATCACTACCACCACCACCACCAAATTTACTAGTACCAATACAGCAGTGCCAAATCCTGAACCCATCCAACATTATTATCCTCTTCCTCCTCATTTACCGTTTGCTACATTCCTCCTTCATTATCATCATTTCATCTCAATCTACAGAACTATCCTCTTTAAGGCATTGTTTAACAATGTTAAATCTGAGATGCATGGCCCTACGTGTTATCAGTGTCTGTGATATGGTGTAATATTGAAGCACTTCAAAATGGTCATGAAGTGCCTAAAAAAAGTAATAATCTTTGAGTGACTGGTTTTACCATACTCATTTCCCCCAATAGACTGTAATGTTATAAGGAAAAGTTATTAGGAAAACAAATTTTGAAAATTTGATTTCCAATCATAAATATCTTGATAATCAGACAAGCGATCGGCTTGTAAAAGTCATGGGGGTTTTGACTGACCTAAAGGTTTATAATTACCATCGCAGCATGAGCTAACTCAAGGATTTTGTTTCAGAATCTGAGACAAAGATACCCAATCCCTTTAACTCACCTATTATGGTATCTTCTTAGAAACCTTTGTATCTTCCGCGCCGCTTCCTGCTCCCGCTTCATCCGTGCCTTCCTCTTGTCCCTAGAGAAAAAATGTCAAAACATGGCAAGATGTAGATTCAGTTACCCCAAATTTATCAGAATCTTTAATTTCAAATATTAGACAACAAAATACCAAAAATTGATAAATTGCAACTAGCAAATGATTTAATAGGCAAGTTCATGACAGACACATCACATGATAATCAAAAGTAGATACTATAAGTCACATGACTCCACCTCTCTGAATACATTTAAATAGTCTGCAAATAAATCAAAATTCAGTAAATAATTTCCTTGGAGTACTTGTGGACAGAAACATAAGTTGGTATTATACTGAAAACATCTGTTGTAATTTTTCACGTGTCATTTGTGTCTTATCAAGACTAAGATATTTCATAACAATAGGTACATGTATCTTAATCCACTTATTTAACACATTAAAGCATATCTGTACTAATTTGGGATTAGACCTCCCTGCATGGTCACTGACAGGTGGTTATCTCATCAAATCAGCTCTCAATTAACATAAGAAAAAGGGACCATGGGGGATCAACAGGTACCGCTTAGGCATTGTTGGCTGTATAGAGGGCGCAAGTAGTGCAGTCCCGCTTTAATATTGCCATACATTTGGCGTTGTACTACAAATAAAACCCAATCCCGTCTCACCTGAATCTCTGCTGGATGAGAATGGCAGCATCTCGACTCTTCCTGAACTGTTCCTGAGCCCGGTACGTCCTGTAGCTGTTCTGAATGATGATGGCTGCCTTGCGACTCCGCTGGAACTGTCGGTAGCTCTGGAAGGAGCGGAACTTGTTCTGAATCACCCTGGCAGCCTCAGACATGGACTTGTAGTGGAAATACTGAATGAGAAATGAGACCACATGTTAAACATGTTTAATGATAATAATAATTTTATCCAGGGTAGCCATATCAGTATTAATACTGCTCTTCTGGCAGGCTCTGAATTGATTATTCCCCCAGCAATCACCAGATACCAATTTACATCTGGGTGGGGAGTGGCACCTGTGCACTAATATCTTGCCACAGAAATTAGTATGGGATTTGAACTCTTAACCCTTGAATAGACTCGTTTCATTCAGACAGAAAGAAAAATGATGCTTTTCTATTTGTCATCCACTATCAATATTTCCTTGTGATCTTCCTTCTTGTTTATTCAAATATTCTGTTTTCTCTTTCTCATTGCGTTTGTTTCCATTGTATTTTAGTAATATGGCAGCATAATGCTTGGATTTTCAAAGATACATGTACCGGTATTTGTTACATATTTGTTATTCACATGGCATTATTCTCGTGCTAGTAGAGGCCAAATGTCTACGTTCTAGCATTGACAATATTGTGAATCTAAATCTAAAGATATATATCTAGTTGACAAACCTCTTTATATCTCCTGTAGTAGCTCTGGATAATCACTGCCGCCTCCAATTCTTGCTGCTTCTGCTGTTGTCTTCCCTGTGACAAAATCAGTCAAAATGATGGAGCTTATTGGTTGACACAATTTCATTAATAATCAAAATAATTTCCACTTAAAAAAAAAAAAAAGACCTGTTCTAACCTGAAAGCTTGCAAGAAGATTACCCGACATAGCAACAACTAATGTTTGCAAAGTGGATTCAATCCATAGAGATGAAATTATTCATAGCAGGTGAATGAAATGGCTGGTAAGAAAGGTTTCAGGGGAAAACGTGCATAAATTGAAATACATTTGGTAAACAGAGGTAGATTGACAGACATTGTTAGATAAATATCATCTTTAAAGAAAAATTGAACAGAAGTTGAGAATTTCTCCTATCCCTTTGCTGTCAGAGTTCAAACAATCATTAAAGTGTACCAATCACCTAAAAATAATTTGTGTACAGCTAGAATGTATCAAATCAACCTAAAAGAAACTTAACCTGGCATTCTATGGCTTGATGGTTAAGAAGTATCAAGAATATAAATAACAGATATACATGAAATACCAAAAGGACAGAACCTTAGAGCTCAATGTAACCAACCAATCTTACCTTGTATTGTCTGAAGGCATTCTGGATCACGATAGCAGCTTTGTACAACTGCCTTTGCTCTTCATCTAAAAATAAGAAATATAGATAATATCATCAGGGTTAGGATAAGCATAAAATACAAATAAAGGAGCTGCTGTATAATAAATTGTGTATAATGTTGTATGTTTGGCGATGCATACATCAAATTATCTGTTGTTTTTCTCAAATCGTGATAGGAGTTTAATCAAAGTTACGCATCAGTTTAAAATCTTAACAGATCACCACTCAGCACAATGTGGCACAGGGATACTATTTGTGTGGCATATACAGAGTGAACAAAGCAATCAAGCATACAGACCCTAGAAATCTGAATTTGGACCCCCTACAAGAAAGAAATTAGTGAGAAGCCCTGTAATATAGGTATAAAGACTGGTATTCAATGCTCACCAGACAGTGTGAGTATAGAGAAAGCCCATTGCAAAGCATGTCCAGATCCCTGTAAGAACTCGCTCCAGTCTGCTGGCGGGAAGTCTTCATCAAAGCTGATGTTACTAGGGCTACTAGAAGCACGACAAGACGACTCCGCCCCACTGTACGAGCTTGCGGGTGAGCTATCAATGCTAGGCCTGGATAAATGATTGAGATAAAAAATAAAGTCAAAACAGAATCAGTAAAAAACATTTGTTATATCTTATATGATCTGAAATTCTTTTCTAATTTATACAGTAATGTCATCTGTATTATGAATTTTATCTGTAAAGTCATGGACGTTCAGTACTACGGACACATTTACACTGTATCCGGTAAAATACTACAAAGAGTGAAGTAGGAATTACCCAAGTTACATGCAGATGCTAAAATGGCCATATGCTGTACTCTGTTTAAAAGTTGCAGTTTTAAAGATAACGTTGAGTTCTGGTCATACGATTGCATTGTGAAAGAAACGTTGTGGAATCGATCAGAAACAGTTGATCATCTAGCATATAAAGTATTGGTGTGTACTGCAAGATTCTGGAATCATCAAAATGATAAGATATTCGGCCCAGTCTTGGTAAAATTACTAGCACTGTGCACAGAAAGATGTATATGGGACTACACAACATGCTGCATAAAAATCTGTCCCAATTTTATGATGTTATATGCCATATTTAGAATATTAAGGCATTTGAAGAGCCATGCTTTTCAGGGTAATATTTTTTCTCTTGATGTTCTTCTATACTTGCATAATACAATTATAATAACGCCCACAAATTATTATTCACCTCTGCCAGAACTCAACCTTCTCTTTAAAGCTACATTGTATCTTATCATTTCTAAAGCAATATCTCACCTATAGAGGGCGTCCTCCACACCTCCAGGACTGGAGAAAGGGCTTGCGATGGAGCTGATGGAGTCATGGAGGGACTCCTGATCCACCTGTACATGAGGTCCCTCAGACTCCACCTGGGATCCTGCTACGCTACCCCTGGAGCCCTCCCTGGAGCCCTCCAGCTTGATCCGATCAGGGAGCGCGTCCAGGATGTGCTCTGCCAGGGATAAGTACTGCTCCTGGAAGGAAAGAAAGATGAGATAGATGCAGGTCTATCAATGGAAACTGACATATCATTTAATTTACAAAACTGTAAGTTCCTGACGATAACTAATGCTTAATTAAATGTACATTTTTCCCCCTATGAATATTCAACTGTTCAATTCATAATCTCAATTTCATTTTAATGCTCTATAATGAATACTTCATTATATTAGCTCTATTTGGTTTTACAATTACCATTTTATCATTATATTTCCTTTAACGGGGCTCTTTTAATACGTTGCAATTGTTAATTGCCATTATTGTTGTCATTTGATCACTTCTTTTTGAATTTCATTGTTGATTGCTTGGACTGTTTTAATAATTATTGTATAATTGCTTTTATCATGTGTATACATTGAACATTGTTATTACCATTGTAATTCGTTCTTTGGACTGCGAGAATGGATAATATTCAATAAAATCCTTCAATCAATCAAAATGTAAACCAGCCTTTGCTTCTAGATGTATCTCCACTGGGTATGTGGTTACAAATTATCCCATTGTTCTTATGAGGCTAGGCATGCAGGTTTACTCCTAAATTGCTGTAAAAGTATGTTTCTTATTCCTCCTACGATTAATCAAAATTGTTTTGAAAGAAAAACTTGTTTGCCCTATAAACTTCAAATCTAGTCCATACCTTGTTTCCAGCTGCAGATCTAGGCATGAGAAGTGGCATGTAGTCATCCGTCTGCATAGGAGAATCACAACGTTGTTCGTCCTCCCCGACCCCATCTCCCTGGTCTTCCTGCTGTTGAGCGGCTACCTGAAGCTCCTTGACAAAGCTCTCCCACATCTCCTTCTGATCTGCATGCTCCCTGTCTCCCAAAGGATGAAGCCCCATCAGCTCCGCAGGGTCCAGGTTACCCAGGATCTGGCTCCCGCTGAGGAATGCCTTGAGGGTCGCTTGGGATATAGGAGGCGGGATAGGCATGGGGATGCCCCCTGCAGGAAACTGGGGGCTAGAGGATAGATGGTGGGCGTGGCTTTGGCCATGATGGTGATGAGGACTGGTGGACTTGACGCTCACTCCGCTGTCCCTACGCAGGAACCCTTGTTGGACGTTGAGCATGTTGCCAAGCGATCCTGACGACGTCCCCGGTAAGTCCTGCAGCCTGGGTGACATCTGTGGCGAGGCTCCCATGTTGGGTGTCACCAGCCCCTGCGAGACAGGACTCCCTGAGAGATTTGACAGGCATCCCGATGACGGTGACTGAGCTTCAAAGATGGGTGCTGAGTCATCAGACAGGGATGAACTTGGTGTGTTGGTGGCTGGTGAGGACACCATGAATGCTGGTAGGACGTTGCGTCCACTCTGTGGTATCTGTATGGGATCACTCTTAGGGGATGGGGAAGCATCTAGGGGAGACCAGAGGTGAGATTCTTCTTGACCGAGCTGGACGAGCGAATCTGCAAGGGAGGTGTGCCCTCGAGACTTGGCAACGTCCAGAGGAAGCCGACCAAGGGAGTCACTCATCTTCAGGCAGTGGGGTCGCCAGCGGTACAGCAGAAGGGCAGACTCCATGTGACCTAGAGCACACGCCCACATCTGCAGAAGACAAGTGTCAATAGCAACATTAGTAGTAGTACATGTAGTAGTGGTGGTTATTTTACCTGACTAGAAAGCATAAATGCTTGTTAGTAAGCAACCACAGGAGCGACGCCTTTAGGTCTTCTCCGAGAGATCATCAAAATGAATACGATTTAAAAGTTCAAGCTGAACTTCACAATTTGTGACTCCATTTGAAATGTAAGAAAAGAGAGCCCTTTTGCAGAGAGCACAATGTTCATTTCACGTTTCTTGTTGATGTTTATTACATATTTAGATTAAACATAATTTTCATTTGTTTTGTAAAGCACTCAGAAACTGTATGTGTATACCAGCGCTATATAAATTATAGATATTATTATTGTTACATTTTGCAATATTAAACTTTGGACAGTTCAGCCCACCCACAGCAACAACACCAAATACAAGGTTCCTGAAGCTACATGTATGCACTGCCGGAAAATGCATAAGCTTACATTGAGCATCTGATGGATGTAAACATTATGGAAATAGTGCAAGGAATAAATGTTTTCATTGGAGTTCCCCTTTACCTCAACAGTTCCCTCTCTTTTCTCCTACAGGTGTAGATATATTATTGTATTCTGTAAGGTATTGTAGATAACAGATCTGCCCAGCCTCAAGTCCCCCAGAAAAACATCTGAGAACAACTTACCAGTGGGGTACAGGATGCATTGTCCATGTTCATTGGGTCTAGTTCCAGCTCTGCCGCTATGCTGTTATGATCTCTCCTAAAAAGACGAGGAGATGGAATTTGAATGTTAAAATAGTCATTGCCGGCAAAACATCTGAATTTCACGATTAATCTGGTGAAAACATTTTTGATCACCACTAATGTAAAATATTAATCTACATTTACCATTCAATACCAAGAAGACTAGATGACACAAGCAATGATAGACTAAGCCCTATTTGTTCATCACAGCACTTCATCATGTCCTTTGGTAAAATATTAATCTACATCTACCACTCCATACCAAGGAGAATGAATGACATAAGTCAAAATAAAAATAGCTCTATGCCACCATATTTAACCATCCGATAGGAATAGTCTCTTGGGAATAGAGATGGTGTACATAGTATAACCAGATGTACCCTGCTCCCCCTCCCCCACCCCGAAAGAAAAAGGAATGAGACATAACAGATCAAAATGGTGTCAAAACAAACCTCCATAAGAAGAGAGTGGATATGAGGCGGCTGAACCCAAGCGCCGCTGCTAGGTGAAGGAGTGTCATGCCGTGGTCTGGTCGAGTAACGGTCTGGATCTGAGGAACACTGGTCGGGGGTCTCTGCCTCATCAGGTCCTGACAGATACCAAAGACTCTGTCTTCAAAGGAACCGGATTGCGTACTTCCTGGAGGCTGCAAGGTAGAAACAGATGGAGGCCACAGGACAAACAAGAAATTATTACACGTCTTGATAGATGCTCACAGGATTGTCCTCATAAGAACCAAGCTCTATCCCATAAGAAGGCTACGAGGAACGATAACAATTTATCATCGGTTGGTTTGATCGGTCCCATCATGGCAAACAGCTAGTGACCTCTACAATTGCTTCACTATGCCTTATGCTCTGCAGCAAGAGACATACACTTCAGAGAGGAAGCATCCAGCTAGACTTAATCATTTTTTTCGAATCAGTCTTGTTTGGGTCTTCCTCACTTGAAATCCTTCAATCTTCCCGTACATTATCACCTTTTCTATGCAGTCTTCTTTCCATATTTGATATATGGCCCAAATAGGAGAAATATTGGTTGAAGAAAAATAATGCCAGAATATTCCTATCCAGATTTAACAAGATGTTCAGGGGGGGTGTTTCACAAAGATCATAAGTTGAACTTAACTCTAAGTTGGACTTTACATTATGGAGAGCCATTTGGAGCCTTGGAATAAGATATATTCAAAAGCACAAATTCAAGTATTTTAGACTTTTTATAAATTCCACATCAAGAACTTGAAATCTCCTTGATAATAGAACATATTAATAATTTGAATCAACATTTTACTCCTTTCAAAAGCAACTTTTATAAACTATTTCATAGATGCCAACGGCTTTTCATAATTTCAAGTCCAACTTAGAGATAAGTTTGACTTACGATCTTTGTGAAACACCCCCCCCCCCCAGTAGTATGAACTTGCAGTGACATGCATACACAGGCTCAGATGCAATCTCTACTTTTTTAATCCTCAAAGGTCTTATGTTAATCCTCTCCAAACACTTAACCTGTTGAATACTGAATTATTTAAATTCCCTAAGCATAATACAGGAGCCAACCAGTTCCAGGAGTCAATGGGGTAAGGATCAACCAAGGTTCTAGGGAAGACAGGTGTCATTTCTTCTTACCTGGCTTCTCCCTTGATTGCCTTTGGTACCAAGTCTCTGCTCCATCTGTTCTAGGCGCTCTAGGATAGCCATCTTGAATCGATTCTCTGTAATACACAAGCAGATGAATTAAACAACATGACTGGTATTGCATTACTTACTGTCCCTCGAACCAGTTAACAGAGAAGTGGTAGGGCTCTTTTAGTTATTTACCCCCCCCCCCCCCCCCCCCCCCCCCCCGGAGAAAACAAAAAAACCTGAACTCCTTACTGAAGAATTGCCATACTCTCAGAAGCTTTTTAGAGGTGTCTGAAAACACATCAAATTCTAATTCAATGTAATATTTCTCTCTCTCTTTATAATCAATGCAAGCTTTATATGATAATGGTCTCTCTCTTTGTAAGTATTTCTTGTTTATCCACTTTGTAGCTAATGAAAAGTCACTTTATAAATGTACTATTCCTCTCTGTTAATTGCAACAAATGGATTTGAACTTTGTCCTGTCCATCTAAATATCAATTCAGCTTTTCAATCACTGGTGTACACTGCGAAGTGAAAATTCAACACTTGACACAAGATCTTCAATATCTGAAACAGTTAACCCTGTGGAGTTACGATAACATAAACCCTATGAAAATTTCTCACATACTCAGATCACATTTACTTAAAATCTAGAATAAATGTATAACATTTAATCCAAAATTAAGTTCAAAGCAATTTTTACTTGTTTTGATGTTACCTGAAATCATTAACTTTTGTAAATATTCAATCTAAAGTGAAATTCATTTTTTTTTTTTTTTTTTTTTTTTTTTTTTTTTTTTTGGGGGGGGGGGGGGGGGGGGGCGGGGGTGTGGGGGTTAGACTTACCATCTAAGGAAAGCCAGTCATGTGACCCTGCAACATACTGGTTAGTCCGTGCTCGGTATTCAAACATGAGAGGCTTAGAGATCAGTACCCCATTACAGGTCACATGAAGAGCGCACTTCCCTGCCTCGTGGGCTGAAAGATAGGGAACAGAGTAAAAAAAACAAGTTAGTCTTAGACGTACATGTAGGCACAGACACTGAGGTACCACTTTCACAAACTATATTGAACAGTGCAACCCGATTTAGTGACCACCTGTCCATAAAGACCACATTTTTGGTTTCCTTTGACAATCTTTTCCCGTAGAAACCTGTCAATCAAGACCACCTGTCTATAGAGCACTTTTTTGTCACCCTTGAGTGGTCTTTATATACAGGTTGTACTGTACCTTGAGTGAAGCCAAACTCGGCTTTCCACCCACTTGGTTGTCTACTGGCAGGAGTAACTACTGTACAGTACAGGGCCTATGAGTGCCTTCCATATTATTTGCAGGGAAGACCCTGTGATATGGATTATAACCTGGCGAATGTTTCTATTCCCCTAACCTTTAAACAGATACAACATGTACCTGGTTCCTACAGTCAATGGGTTATCTACTATCTTACAAACAAACTTTGGGTAAATTTCTAACAAAAATAAACAATGAAACAAAAGGCCACACACTTCTATAACAACTGGAATACAAAATGCAGACATGGATTCAAAGAACATACTCTACTATTCATACATGTTTGAAACAGCATGGTATCCTATTTACTGTACATCCCTTGTGTGCATGATTCATGCCTACAATGTGCGTTATTACCTGGACTATAGCAGCGTAGGACACCAGTCTGTACGAGGGCTGCTGCCAGGTTGGTCTGGTCAAAGATAGGTACCCTATTTTATCCCTTGTGCACATGATTAAAGCCTACATCGTGTATTATTACCTGTACTATAGCAGCGTAGGACACCAGTCTGTACGAGGGCTGCTGCCACGTTGGTCTGGTCAAAGATAGGTAGCCTATTTTATCCCTTGTGCGCATGATTAAAGCCTACATTGTGTATTATTACCTGTACTATAGCAGCGTAGGACACCAGTCTGTACGAGGGCTGCTGCCACGTTGGTCTGGTCAAAGATAGGTACCCTATTTTATCCCTAGTGCGCATGACTAATGCCTACATTGTGTATCATTACCTGGACTATAGCAGCGTAGGACACCAGTCTGTACAAGGGCTGCTGCCACGTTGGTCTGGTCAAAGATAGGTACCCTATTTTATCCCTAGTGTGCATGATTAAAGCATACAATGTGTATCATTACCTGGACTATAGCAGCGTAGGACACCAGTCTGTACAAGGGCTGCTGCCACGTTGGTCTGGTCAAAGATAGGTACCCTGTTTTATGCCTAGTGTGCATGATTAAAGCATACAATGTGTATTATTACCTGGACTATAGCAGCGTAGGACACCAGTCTGTACAAGGGCTGCTGGCACGTTGGTCTGGTCAAAGATAGGTACCCTATTTTATCCCTAGTACGCATGACTAATGCCTACATTGTGTATTATTACCTGGACTATAGCAGCGTAGGACACCAGTCTGTACAAGAGCTGCTGCCACATTGGTCTGGTCAAAGATGCAGCTGTAGACATCTTGAGTGGAATGCCAAGGTCCTGTTACTAAGATCTTCACTCCACCCTAGAATGGTACAATGTAGGGGAAAGCAATTTAGCTATGGAGAACTTAATAGCACTGGTAAAACACAAACAAATATATATTAAGAAAATCACTGCAACATGGAAAATCCATAAACAGTTACTATATAAACAAATCTATTTAACAAAAAATCATTTAGAGGTGCAGCAACTGTGAGAAACTGAGTTTGGAATTCACCAAATCCAAGAACTCTTTACATCATGGTATATAGAATTCTGTTCAAAGACATATTATTAAAAGCTAAGTTGAGATAATAAAACCATTGCAAAATTAAACATTTCACAAAATGTACCCATGAAATTGAACATAGTTGATTTCATTGATAAGAAAAAAAACAAGAGTGCATTTATCAAGCTTTGTTGTAGTGTATCTTTCAAAAATCAGAATTCAAATTTATCATTGCCTTTTCAATATCAAATCAATAACAAATGTCAATTGTTCACCCATGTTTAAGCCTTTCACCAACAAATCAACATTTCCATTTTAGAGTAATAATGAATAAAATGAAAAAAAAACAAAAAAACTACCTCAGTGTAGGACCAATCCGGTGAGAAGTCAGTGATCTCACAGAGGTGTTCTCCAGAGTGATCTTCATCACCTGCATCCCTTGGTCTTGCATCGTGGCTGTTGTGTTGAGGTACCGGCTGCTCCTGGTTTGCACCATGGTCGAAGTCCCCGAGACTTGGATTCGGACTGGATGAAGCAAGGAGAGCAGCTCCAAGCTCTGGGAGAGGGCTCTCCATGAGCTCAAAGGTATCAAAGTCCAGCTCGATGTTAGAAGGACTGGGGAGGGAACCAAGATCTGATGTAGCGCTGCCTGACTTGGTGAAGTCATGCCCAGACTCAGCCAGCCCCATTGAATTGTGAAAGGAACCACTGGCAGACAGGAGATCGGAGAGAACAGAGTTCTGGTCGTTGGGAGAGAAGTTGCCATCCTGATCCATGGCATTGAACTCGGACAAGGTGGGGAATTCAGAGTGTTCATTCTGGCAGTAGATGTTGCTGCTGTTCACAGAATGTTGATAAGTCATGTCTACCCGACTAGGGCTGCGACTTTGATGGACTTGGCCTTTTTGAGACAGGTGGGTGGGATCTGCTTTATCATTACTGGTCCCTTGCATCTCTGGCTGAGATGCATTAGACGTAGAGCCTTGGTGAGATCCCCCTGTTCCAAAATCTTGAGGTGTCTTTTCTTCATTGTTTGTTCTTGCATCTGTCTGTCGATGTAGATAGTGTTCCTGCACTCTCTCTGGGAGCATGACAAGGTCGCTGCGGTGGTCTTTGAAGCGATTCTCCAAGGTCTTGAGCTTTGGATCTCCGTTCACCAACTCTCTCAGCTCCTGGGATTCCTGCCCTGTAATCTTCAGTTGCCCACTGTGGGTGTTTGAGTTTCCTTGTGATGTTTGGCTGTCATTTTCAATCTGCCCTACCCATGTGACATCTGATTGTTGTGAATTTGATGGGAATTCTGATGGCAAGTTTGATCTTCCATCAAAACTATTCCTTGTCTCTGCAGCTGCAATGTTTGCATCAGCTACCATCTGAAGCAATGATGGATTTGATTCAGACTGTGACACTAAATTGTTTAAATAGCTTTCTTTTGCATGGATTGTTGCATTGTTAGGTGTCTGCGGCGAGGCTAGAACCAGGTGTGGATTTCCAGAATCTCCAGAAGACACAGCCTTCAGGATGAACTGCGGGGAAGCTAAACCTTGTGCCGTCATTGCCACTGTGCCTTCTGCGGGTTTGAGAATAAATTTTGGAATTTCACCTGCCTTTGACTCAGAAGCCTTGAGAATAAACTGTGGAGGTTTTGTTGAGGAATTTGAGGGTACTTGCTGGAGAATCAATTGTGGAGAACCGATAGGTCTATTCTCTGCTGGCAAACTAAATCCTGGCATTTTGAAAGTACCTGGTTCCTGCACTGTGTGTACTGAGTGGGCGCTGGTTGCTGGTGAGTGACTTGTGGATTTGATTTGGTTTCCTAATCTTATGGATTCCATTGTTTCTCTGGATAGATTGAAAGGATTGCACTGTTGGGTTCCAGTAGACAAGAGCTGAGGCACCTGATGCGCCTCTTGATTGGGAATCAATTGCGGGGATGACACTATTAACTGCGGAGACCTAAGGATGCTTCGACCTTGGTGTGAGGCTTGCGGTAGAGAATTCTGTGTTCCTTGACCAGCTGGATTCAAAGACCCTTGCCTGAAGGGTTGCCCTCCGGAATGTCTCTGCTGCTCTTGCAGTGTTTGTTGAAGGGATATTTGAGGTCCAGTACCTTGGTGAATACCTGAAGGAATATGGTTCATAGAATTGGTGTTCTGATGAAAATGGGAACTATGGAGATCATAGCACTGGGATTGATGTGCTGCAAGAGGGACTGTTCCTTGGGAACCACTCGGTGACTCTACATGTCCTCTAGGAGTCATTGGTGAAGACATCCCAGAGTGATTCTGAAGTTGTCCATTGACTCCATTCATTCCAATCCTGCTAGAATCCACATTACCCTCAGATGGACCCCAACCGTTCGTACTGACATCAGTCACACATTGCACATTGCCGAGTCCTTTGAGGACTTCAGAGATATTCTGCGAAGAGTCCACAGGGGCAATACTCTTCACCTGGAGTTTGTTGTTGCCTGCATTGTTCTGGTTGGCTACCACAATCAACAGGTTAATATTGCCACTGTCATCCATCTTGACTTTGTTGGATATAGCGTTGGACAACGTGTTTTGGTTGCTGCATGATTTGATGTTGTTGTCCGAGTGATGGATAGACCCCTGACTGGTGGATGCAACAGATGCAGTGTGACTGCTACAGGAACCTACAAAAATGCCAAACAAAGAGCCACAAAAATTTAAGAAAATATCAATTCCTAAGAAACTATCAATTACTAATACTACTTATAAGCTTTAGCACGGTTGCCATTATGGCCCTCTAGCATTTCAAGGAATTAATTGCTGCCAGGTACCCATTTACATCACCTGAGTTGAGTGTGGAAAATGTAGATTAATGTCTTACCAAAGGACATGAGTGCCACAGCGGGACTCAAACAGCAGACCATGCGGTCCATAGTCTGGGGACGTATCCACTCGACCACAGCACCTCTACATTTACCCCTGTGTCTAATGGACTCACATCTTGAAATGACCCTTTTTGGATAAGATCCACAGAGTTGCCAATTCTTAACTTCAACAATTATAAACTTTCTTTTTATTTATCAAACTTTAATAATTCAAGTGTTCATTTCTCTGTTTCTCTAACTTTTCGAGCTTGGATGAAATCAGATGAAATAAACTCATTTTCAAGTATGACTTCCCCCCATGCCCATCTGACTCTTAAAGCCCGTTTGCACTAGTTTGGCCAGGGGGCATTAGACCTCCCTGCAAGGTCACTGACAGGTGGTTATCTCATTAAATCAGCTGTCAATTAACATAAGAAAAAGGGGATCATGGGGGACCAACAGGCGCGGATTAGGAATTGTTTGCTATATAGAGGGCGCAAGTAGCTACAAGTAGTACAGTGGGGCTTTAAAAACCAACAAGTGACTTGCACCATTGACTCACTTGCAGGACTAGGTGGCACCTGAGCCATGATCCTTAGGGTAGTGCAGTCTAAACAGCTACAGTTCCTGGAATCACTGTTGTTCTGACGATGTCCATGCAGCAGGTACTGGGCTATCACTTCAGCAGAGGCAGATGGCTATCGAGCAAAAAATACATCAAGGAGAATGAAACTCTCAAGCTGGAATTCATACAGGCATATTTATTATGAAGAGTCCAGGCTAAAAACCCTAAATACCTTGAAGTTTGTACATTGATTAAGGCCTCATTCAGATATTCAGTGGGAAAACCGCAGCATTTTTGTTCATGATGACGTAAAGTGTCATACGAATCACAGTTCTGTATCTTATAACATAGAGCTTGGTGAATACATGCAGGACCTTTGCTGCGCTCAGATGACATTCATTTTCACGTGAAATATTAAAAAGTGGCGTTTTTATGCGGGGGTTTGCTACATCATATCTGGACAAGCCTCTATGGAGCATCAAGTGTCAACCTCTTCATCCTGTAAAATATTCTGTTACTACAAAGACAAACAAAATTAAAGTCACAATGATTTTTTTTTCCTCATTTTCAATTCATGATTAGCTACATTAACTATATTCGCATTGATACAGTCCTATCAAACATGGGCAATTTATAAGTTTATGCGAGTTTATTTGTGACTGACAAAAAAAACAGAAAAATTGAATAGAGATAATGACACTTGAGCTCCAAAACTCTCAAAAGGGTAAATGTTTGTTACAAAAGCAACCATCGTTATATTTGAGTTAACAACTTTGTAGCTTATAAACAGGACATTAAAAAAGTCCACTTTGGCTTTAAAGTAGCTCTCATGCTTCAAATTACACTTTTTTACTTAATCCACAGGGATTGCAGTATACAGGGCGTATCATAATAAAGGATATTGAAGTTTAATGACGATTTATATGAAAACTACTGATTTCATAATCAAGCATTTTATGTCTGTTGTAAAGGACAGAATGTCTTCTTGTTAATGACACCCCGATCATACTACTACTGTCACAGTTGACTGAATAACAAAGCATTGCTGTCCACCATGTGAAAGGTGCACTGTGACAAGTTAGCATTCACAGATAAATTCTAAAGATTAGTGCTTGTGTCAGCCCAGACATATTGAAATGCTGAACAATGAGTGGATTATGTGTCTAAGAAGGAAATGTTATCAAACTTGGCACAGTGCACCTTTCACATGGTGGACAGCAATGCTTTGTTATTCAGTCAACTGTGACAGTAGTAGTATGATCGGGGTGTCATTAACAAGAGGACATTCTGTCCTTTACAACAGACATAAAATGCTTGATTATGAAATCAGTAGTTTTCATATAAATCGTCATTAAACTTCAATATCCTTTATTATGATACGCCCTGTAGATGAAAATGAAACCATTTTCACTTGATTACAAAGAGTCAATATACTGTTAAGAAACTTACTGTGAGCTCTTGGGATCCATTCAGCTGTATCTGGTATCCATGTACTGAATGCAAAATGAAACAGAGAGTTGTCATAATTATGGCATTTGATTTCCTTGTCTTCCGTTATTCAATTTCATGTTTCTATTCTATCGTTCTACAATAACAACAATTGGATTTTGAAATATAATCTGATTTTAATGACTCCCCACAGATTAGATATGAAACTGTCTTAAGAGATCCCATTGAATGACCTGATGGGAAAAGTCTGTGCTCATACTATTTCTGGAATATAGCTAATATAGTTCTTTGATTGATCAACAAAACTATAAAAAACATTTTGAGACAGCTTTACAGACAAAATCATAAATTGTACAAATTCAAATTAATCACTCAATTTTCAGATTTATATGCAGATTATAGCATGAAAACACATTTATTTCCTTCTTGGAAATCACTGTTGATATATACAATGAAATTTACACAGGAAAGAGACAAGCACAAGGTTTGTGCTGGGTTTGCCATGAAAAAATAATTTAGATGTGACAGTAGGTCTGTCTTCTTCAGCTCAAGATTGCCAAATATCCCGCTATTTTAACTATCCAGTTAATTTGCGTCTTCATCAGCCAGAAGTTGCAATTAGCGGGATATTTGGTCGAGATAATCATCCCAAGATATCTTGGGCTAGTTTGCAATATATCCTGCTATTTGGCAAAATATCCCGCTATTTGTCCGGTGCGTCCTCACCAGCCCGAACTGAGCTAATTTCTCAAGCTCGAGGGTCAAGTTTTGAGCTCAAGTCTCAAGCTGATGAAGATGCGATTTGTAACTTCAGGATTATTTCCCAAATCAAAAATAGCGGGCTATTTGGCAATCTCGAGCTGATGAAAACAGACCTATATTGAAATCACTTGCACATCACATTTCACATTTCTACTTTTCCTCTACACTTCCCTAGATTGAATATTGATTGCTTACACATTGGAGTGATCTGCTTGATGAGATCTTCAGTTGACCAGTTGGTTCCATCGTGCTGAGGAAGGTCAATCAGAGAGCCATTGGTCAAGGATTCCAGGGTCAGCTTACGGTCCTCGGTGACCGGGACGTTCAGGTAATGGACCAGGATGATGTCAGGATTCTACGGGTGACAGAGAGAAGGTGGAGAAGAAAAAAAATGGAGTTACAGGAGAGATTAAGAGAAATGACAGTGAACAGATACAAGCAATGGCTTTTAGGATATAAATCCAATTTCATTTGGTAGTCATCTACTGGAATCTGGATGGTCACAATCTTCATACAATGATGGCGCTCTTTGACGTCTCCTACGAGTTTTTTTAGCTGCAGGAATTTGCTATTTTTACTACTCATATCTCTTCTTCATCATCTTCATTTGACTGTTTTTGATATGTAGTGCTTCTAAACATCATCAACCGCCAATACTAGGAGTCAAGTGGGGCAGCAGTTCGGAATTGGTCCTAATTTTTTCGGATTACAAGCTTGTAAGTTACACGTCAATCGTTGGTTCAGTCCCACCTGTTTCTTTTGCTGTATTTTATTGACATTTGTAGTACCGTGACTTCCGGCGCAGTGCTCTTGCCTTGTCTTCTGATATTTTCATTACCCTCTTGCCAATTTACAATGTCTATCAAGACAGTTAAAGCCGTTCTGGCTGAACTTTTTGAAAAAGAGGATTTCATTCAGGCAATTTCAGATGGCGTAGAGAAGAAACTTGGTACAATTTTAGACAGACTTGTACAACAAGAAGCTTGCATCACTGAATTTGTATCAACAGGGAAAGTGAGGGATGCTCAAATACGTGACCTTGAGACAAAGCTGAGTTCTATGGAGACCAGATGTGACAAGCTGGAGAGTGACCTCATGGGTGTTCAGAATGGGAAGGATCAACAGGATCAACAGCTCAAATCGCTTCAGAAGGAGCTTAACAGCCGTAATGAAGAAGCGCATAGCCTTAAACGGAACATCAATTCATTGGAGCAGTACTCGCGTCGAAACTGTGTACGCATTTTTGGAGTCAAGGAAAAACCGCAAGAAAATACAGATGAAATCGTTTATGATGTCGCACGGCAAATGGGAATCACCTTCGACCAGAGTGACATCGATCGCAGTCACCGTGTAGGAAAAGTTCCAGCTGACAAGGCTAGGAGCAGGGGTATCATCGTAAAGTTTCGCTCCTCCAAATGCTGTCAACAGCTAATCGCAAATAGAAGAAAACTGAAAGGAACTCACATATCTGTGTTTGAAGACCTGACAGCGTCTAACTTTAAACTGTTGAGTGACGCCCAGGCTTGCCCTAAGGTTCTAGCAGCATGGTCATTAGGTGGACGTATTTATGTAAGTGCTGCAACTACAAATGGGACTACAATGAAGCATCTCATCACACGCAAAGAGGACTTACAGAAGCTGTAATTTTTTATTTCTAATTAATGATCTTCAGTTCTTGATGAATTTTATATAGGCTCCTAGTGGCTTTTCTTCTTACAATACATCAAACATTTGTCGTTGTTTTTGTTTTGTTTTTTTGCCGTTTATCTCCATTGAACTTTTTTTTTTCTTTCTTTCTTTCCCCTTTTCCCTTTGCATTTTTTTATTTTTATATTTGTAGGTGTGTTTGTGTATGTGTGTAGTGAGCATGTCTGAGAAACAAAGTTATGTGCAATCTTTACAATCTATTGATTTACAAACTATTTATGAATATCTGTCTCCTGAGAATAATGAAAATGGATACAATTATGGGCCTTCCCAGTCTTTTTATACCCCAGATGAATTTAATGATTACAGTAAAACAAAATTAAAGAACTATTCATGTGTCTTTTCTAGCTTGCATTGTAATTGCAGGAGTATGAATAAGAATTTTGAAAATTTAACTATATTTCTTAATACTTTGGATGTGCAATTTTCGATTTTAGGTATAACAGAAACGTGGCTGAAAGAGAGTGATTGTTTTTATAACATTGATCATTATTCATTTTTAGGTAATGGGAGAGAAGCTAAAAGAGGTGGAGGAGTTGCAATATATATAAGAAATGATATAGATTTTAAAAGTAGAGCTGATTTAGATTTAAATACTGTTCATTTTGAGTCTATTTTTGTAGAAATTTCTAATCTCACCAAGAATATTATAGTAGGGGTAATATATCGTCCACCAAACCAATCAGTGCAATCTTTTATTGAATCATTTGATGAAATTTTAAATATTGTAAAAAAAGAAAATAAATTATTGTATTTAATGGGTGATTTTAATTTAAATTTATTAAAAGTTACATCTTGCAAGAGAGTCAATGAATTTCTTGATGTTTGTATGTTTAACAACATTTACCCTCTTATTCATACTCCAACACGTGTAATCATTCTGCTTCCTTGTTAGATAATATTTTTACTAATGATCTACAAGAAATATTTGCAGGTGTTATCCTTGGTGATGTCAGTGATCACTTTCCAGTTTTTTCAATTTCAAATCTACAGTTACAAATTAAAAAGGAACATGCTTCATTTAAACGTGATTTTAATAAAGAAAATTCACAGCTTTTTGTAAATGAAATAATGAATGTATGTTGGTTTGTTGAAAATCATGATGCTAATGAAGCCTATAATGATTTTTTGCAAAAGTATTTAAATATTTACGAGTCATGCTTTCCAATTAAAAAGTCAGTTAAAAAGAAATTCAAAAATAAACCATGGTTTAATAAACCACTACGTAAACTCTGTAATAAAAAATGTTACTTATACAGACGATATGTTAAAAAACCAACTCCAGAAAGACATGAAAAATACAAGAATTTCAGAAATAAGGTAACTGAAGAAATTAAAGAAACAAAGAGAGCATATTTTAAAGGTAAATTTCAAAATGCTGCAGGCGATATGAAAAACACATGGAAAATAATCAATGGAGTACTGGGTAGGGGTGTAAAGAAGAAGGTGCTACCAAGTTCAATTCAGTGCAATGATGCAATGATAAATGGGACAGCAGCAATGTGTAATGCTTTTAATAAATACTTTGTAAATATAGGCCATACACTGTCTTCTTCTTTTGTAAATTCTGGGGACTGTATGCAACATGTAATAAAAAATAATTCATCTGCATTTTTTACTCCGTGTACACCAAAAGAAGTTATTAATATTGTTTCTAAACTTAAAAATGGCAAGAGTCCTGGTTTTGATAGAGTGGATATCACATTGGTTAAAAATGTTATTCATATTTTATGTTACCCTTTATGTGATATTATCAATTTATCTTTAAATACTGGTGTTGTCCCAGACAAACTTAAAATTGCAAAGGTTATTCCTATTTATAAAAATGGATCAAATGATAATTTATCAAATTATAGGCCCATATCTATTCTTCCTATTTTTTCAAAGATTTTAGAGAAATGTGTATATAGTCGTGTATATAAATTCTTGGAAAAATGCAATATCATTACTCCCAAACAATTTGGTTTTCGAGCGGGACACTCTACTTCTTCTGCCATTACTGAGTTTATTCATAAAGTTACAAATGCCTTTGATAATAGAGAAATAATGATTAGCCTGTTTTTAGATCTTAGCAAGGCTTTTGATTCTCTTGATCACTCAATTTTATTAAAAAAATTGGAATGTTATGGTTTTAGAGGTACTGTACTGGAATGGTTCAAAAGTTATTTAAGTAATCGCAAACAATATGTTGTTCTAGAAAAATGTGAATCACAGACAATGGCGATAAGATGTGGAGTGCCCCAGGGCTCAATTCTTGGGCCATTATTATTTCTTTTATATGTAAATGATATTTGTAATGTTTCAAAAGTGCTAGAACTGATATTATTTGCAGATGACACTAGTGTGTTTATGTCCCATCAAGATATTGTATCTCTTCAAAATATGTTTAATACAGAATTTGCTAAACTGGTTGATTGGTTATATATAAATAAACTTGTAATCAATATTAAAAAAACACACTTCATGATTTTTACCAAAAAAAAAATTGATGTTACCCAAATAAAGGTTAAAGTTAAGGAATCTGTTATTGAACACGTTACACATTTAACTTTTTTAGGAGTCACAATCGATGATAAATTAAATTGGAAGGAACACACTGGTGTCGTCTGCAATAAATTGGCTAAACATGTTGGTGTATTTTATAAATTGAAATTTTTACCTAAAGAAATATTGATGATTTTGTATAATACATTAATATTACCCCACTTAAATTATTGTATTCTTGTATGGGCATGCTCTAGTATGCAAAATACAAGTAGGCTTTTAATTTTACAAAAGAAAATTATAAGAATTATATCGCACAGCCAATACCTTGCTCATACTATACCTCTTTTCTACAACCTAAATTGTTTAAAAGTAAACAATATTATAGTATTAATGACTGCTTTGAGAGAAATAGTTGTTTTATTACGCTCAAGGGAAGGTTAGAATTGTGCTATTCCCCGAGGCTTGCCGAGGGGAATAGCCCAATTCTAACCTTCCCGAGAGCGTATGAAAACAACTATTTCTCGAATATTAAAGCAGTCATTAATACTTTTATATGCCGAAAAAAAATAGACTAAAAAATGAAAAATTAAAAATATTTATCATATGTGTCGAAGACGGGATTCGAACTCTTGCGTACAACAAGAGGTGTACCGAAAACCAACGCTTAGACCACTCGGCTATGGCCCGCCGTTAACATGCTTGGCAGTTTTCTCCAATATATACATTAAAATGGATTGAAACCGGCTCGCGTGTGATGAATGCTTCGCAAAAGCTCCATATACGGACTCTTCTTTTACTTTTGCAATGCATATTGGCACGAACTTAGATCAAGATCTATCGGCAGATGTTGTTTTTAATACTAGCAGTCATTAATACTTTTATATGCCGAAAAAAATAGACTAAAAAATGAAAAATGAAAAATATTTATCTTTTTTGTCGAAGACGGGATTCGAACTCTTGCGTACAACAAAAGGTGTACCGAAAACCAACGCTTAGACCACTCGGCTATGGCCCGCCGTTAACATGCTTGGCAGTTTTTTCCGATATATACATTAAAATGGATTGAAACCGGCTTCGCGTGTGATGAATGCTTCGCAAAAGCTCCATATACGGACTCTTCTTTTACTTTTGCAATGCATATTGGCACGAACTTAGATCAAG